TTTACAACGTCGCAATTTTATATACACCGTTACGAAACATTGATCTTGCTGCCCCCGTTTGAATTTTTTGAAGGCGTCATTTAATTGCCGAGTTACAAACGCTTCTTTTAAGCCAATTTTATGTGATTTTGTTAATTTTTATTGCAACAGTTACTTATCAGATTTAAAAAATTCGAACGGTGGCAAAATGCCACATCCTTTGACAACACTCAATTAAATTTTCAACTATTTTTAACCATTAATAAATCAATGAGACGAAAAATCATAACCCATTGCACGGGCTACTTTCGGTGTAGAGGCGGAGTTGTGTACTGTTAGTAAGCGTCTCAAAGAAAAAAAGAAGCAAATGGTGGATCGTTCGATGGTTGAAGGGTTAGTGACTTCTGTGGAGATAAATGACGAAATGGCTGCATTGGAGCGGATGAAGAAATTGTCAGAGAAGTGCGCTGAACTGTTGGTGTTTTTGTCTAGTGATAAGTCAGTTCTTGAGTTTAAGAAAGATGATTTGATGATGCTTGACAGTGTTAATAAGACTACTAGTGATGAAATAAGTCTGTACCACTTATTTAATAGTTTGAGTGTTCTTGTAGCAAATAAGAGTTTAGATATGCTTATTTTTAGTGTAAAAAAGTTGGATGAAATGGCAAAGTTAATTGATGATTTGAGTGAAAGGTACTTACAGTTTAATCATAAAATTTCTACTACAAAAAATGAGTTGGTGGAATTGTCAGAAAATTTTTCTCCTCATGTTGATGATGTAGTAAGGTCAAGAAAATTGCCTACGATTGTTGTAACAGGTGCAGATAATGTTTAATCTTTATGGGGATTGTATAATTTTGTATATATGTATTTAAAATACAAATTTTGTTTTTATTTAGAAACTAAGTACGTGTCACCTTATTTTCAATGTCTTCGAGTGTCATTTTGCACAGTTCATCGGTGCAACATGCCCCGCCAACTCCTATTATCATGACTACCTAAAATACATAAATTACCATTCATATAAATGTAATACTCGTACAATACCTTAAGAAGTAAATAGGATTCATCGGGAGCCTCTTCAAGAAATCTGTCCATCTGATTTCTATCGAACGTTGGATTTTTTTGGTTTGTAACCGTGTTTTCTCTTTAAAAAAGCACGCGATTTTTGGATACTTTGAAATATCCGTATTTTCGTTCAAAAAAATTATAGTTTTCAACATGCTGTATTCACACCACAAGCTTAAAGGAGACTTTAGTGTTGTACTCTTCTCATAGAAGTACGCTAACATCAATGTTTCGGATAACATGGAATCATCCTTTGTTAAACACCAATCCTTAAATGACTTGTATGACAATTCATACCTTTTCTTCGAAAATTGAAAACAATCTGTATCTAGATCATTTTATTTTCGATACATATCTAGATGTGTATCTAGATAATTTTAAAACTATCTGTCCCTAACACTGGTTGTGAGTTCCACAATTGCTTGTGTTGGGAAGGAATTTTTCCTAAAACCAAATTGCTGTTTAGAGAGTAGATTGTTTTTTTCCAAATAGACCGAAAGTTGCTGAACAATTATCTTCTCAAAAATTTTTTACAGTATAGACAAGATAGTTATAGGACGAATATTATTTAAATCTTCAGAATCTCATTTTTTATAGATTGATATGATTAATGATGATTTAAAACAGCTCGAAAAAATACATTTACTTATACATTCATTAATCAACTATGTTATTGGGATGATTAGAACATTTTTCACAATTTTAATAACTTCTGCATTAAGCTCATATACATCTTTGGTTGATGAGTTATTTAGGTTTACAAAACACTCCCTTACTTCATGAAATGTGACTTCTTTAAATTCAAGTTTGGGAGCATTCCCAGTGCGTTTCGTTACAATCTTGTACTCTTCTCCCCACACATTCCTATCTACCTCCTCGCATACTCTCTTCCACGCCTTTTCATTCATCTTATCACTTTCTCAATCGACTTTTTGGCTTGTCTTGATTTCTTCTGGCACCTCATCAATTCCCTTCTCTTTCTCAAACATTCGTTCCTTTTATTCGCGATCTCGTCCGTGCAGCAATACACTCCTTTCTTCTTTTCCATACTCGTCCTCTTTGTATGTACCCTATCACACGTTTCCTCTAACGCTCTCATTGTCTCACAAATCAATTCCTTCCCATTGTCTATCGTCTTCACTCTCTCCTTCATGACTTCGGCCAGTGTTTCCAATTTCTATGTTTTAGCACTCTCTATTCTTTCATTTTGCTAGCCACCCCCTCCGTGCTGAGTGTCAAGTCAATATGCGACTTCTGCGAGACTCGCAGGAAGGTTTTTTCCATTTTTTTTTCATTTCCACAGTTATGCCACACCATACATCTCTCAGCCATCCAGTCCTCAAGTATACTACTTCTTAGATCATTCACTGTAGAGGAACCCCGCAGGGGTGACTTCGCGTTGAAGTCCCCTGCGACCACCACGTCCCTCTCCCATGTATTCACACTTTCACCCAGAACATCAAGGAACTTCCTATATCTCCCAATCTTACTATTGGGAGATATATAATATCCATACAGCACCCATTCGCTAAATTGGACCTATACGAAACCTCCTTTCCCAAACATCATTTCCTTTTCGTTTCCTCCACACACTCTCACCGCCACATCCACTCTGCTCCTTTAACTCTTTTTTTGTTCGACTATGAGTCTACCAGTACATTCATTCACTCCTTCCTCTTGAACAATTTGCCTTTTTTTTTACGAAACCTTGACCTCCATTGGTTACGATCTTTTTATTGGGTTCACTCACCGTTAGGATGTCGCCCCCTAATTCCACTGCAGTGGCACTGTACATATTTAATTGTATGATTTTAGTTGCCATCCCGCCAGGATGATCTCCTCCGCGTTTGGCCTTCATATTTTTTAATTTGTAGATATTTCTGGGTTAGTGTTCTGTGTCCTTCGTTGAGGCATTCTGCACAGTACATTGGTTTGACACAGTTTGCTGCTAAATGATTTTTGTCGCCACATTGTCTACATAAATTCTTTCTGTCCAGTCCTTTGCACTCTTTTACATTGTGTCCTGGTGCCCAGCATCTGTAGCATCTGTCTATCTGTTTTCTTTCTTGTATCGAACATTCCATAACCCCTATTCTTACTGTTCCTATTTCTTTTACTTTCTCCGCATCCTGGGGTTTCACGCCTATTGTGGCTATTTGTGTCCCGTTTCTTATTTGTCTTCATCTTATATCTATTCCTATCTTGGGTACATCTCCTAGTTTTCCCTCCAGGGCTTTTGTGATCTCGTTCGTTGTTACGCTGGCCATGTTGATAATTTCTAGGACAGTTATTCCTGGTTTGGATCCCGATGTTCGTATTTTTGCGTCTTTCATTTTTGATTGTATAGTTTTTTCCATATCTTCCGCTTTTATTCCATTCTTCAATTTCAGTATTAAGTTTCCTGCCTTCGTCTTTCTGATGCTTTTGATTTCCGAACTTTTTTCTATCACTTCCGTTATTTCTCGTATGTTTTTTAACAGGTACACGTACTTCTTGCCTTCCTCAGCAGTTAAAATTATTACTTCGTTGTTGTATCTGCTCTTTGATTTGGCGCTTCTTGATTTTTACCACAATGACGATTGTTCTGACTCATATTGAGATCTCCAAAACTAAGTAATTTATCGCTCGTTACAGTACATTAGGCAGAAAAACCTTACAGAACCAATGTAAAAAATTTCGCTCTCCATCCACTCTCGTTGCTTACAGCATATACTGTTTGGTCATGGTTTGCTGCATTCAACTATGAGTCTAAAATATTTTGTTCCTTAAGAATACAAAGGGCGGGGATTTTTGCCCCGGCGCAGAGCAGCAAAGTGATATGGATATATGTTCAGGTCCACATCCAATTGTCATTCGGATGCTTCGAGATCATATCGCACCAACAACATTGTTTTTTTTTTTTAGGATCATGATTCATGACACACAGAAGACTCATCACAACTAAAAATTAACTCTGTTTTTTCCACCTGAAGTTCCTTAACCGTTGATTCTAGCACATCATAAAAGCTAAATATTACTACAACAAGGATTAATTTGCTCCATTCTCGCAGTCTCCATGGCCTGGGGCTTTTTGACAGTGAGTTTATGGCGTTTGCGAAAGTTAATAAACTATTATGTGTCAGGCCTTCCATTTCTGAATATACATTGGATGTCATTCATTTTAACAAAATTTTCTACAATGTCTAATATTTGTAACGATACGCTCCAGTCCGGCCGCCGCAGAGCGGGTGATCCCCTTCTGCCGGGGCACCAGTTCGGTCGCCCCTTTTCTCACAGCCGGCCACGACTGACGTCGTGTGACGTGGCAAGATAATACGGGCTATAAATGCTCTCTGTTTTCGGCCGAAAAGGTAGAGTGTGCCTCGGCATCAATCGGTGCGCTTTGTCCTTCCCTCTACGCTTCCACCCTCCAGGCATTAACCGGAATACATCCCGACATCCCACAGGCATCAACCTGGGGATATTCGATCCGCCTCCAGGCATTAACCGAGGGATTACCGTCCCGACCGACCATACCCCAGGCATTAACCGGGGGATAATCGACCCGACCTAGCACCGCTCGGCATTAACCGCGGCGTTCCACCCCATAACCGTCGTCCACCTTTTGTACGTCGACCATATGCTTGCGTCCATGATTGCTGTGTATATTGTGTGTTGAATAAATATTTTCCTACCACTAGTGGTTTTCTTTGAAGTCCTGGAAGTTACCGTAATCGACCGACTACCTCAGTACCGAAAAGAGAAAAAACCCGTTACATACTTCAGTTTTATACTTAAGCCAAATCCTTACATTACTTTAAGACTTTCAGCTAATTGTTTTTCATCCTGTTCCCTCAAAGAAAATTTACCGCTTTCACCTCGGCCATCTTCGGTAGGAACTCCAAAATCCCTTGTTTCATTAACACAGTGTCTTAATGTGGTTCTTAGGATTTTAAAATCTCTTGCAGTCCCTCTCATTGTTTTACTTTTACAGTCTGTGCAGCCTCTTGTAATATTTCCGTGGTGTACCCATCTCTATCTGCTCCTTTATGAGTCTTTGTTTCGTACACCCTCACGAGTCTGTTAAAATACATACATGAGGTGTGGGTAATTGAACTATCACGGGCCTAATTACTCACTGAAGAGGGGCCCACTTATCCAAAGCGTCTTTTTTTGAGGGGTAACTGGGACCTAACCTTTATTTTCATTATTACACATATTATTTTGGTTTTTAAAGATAAAAGTTAACATGCAGAAGTAGACGCAATTTGAGTCGACGTACTTTTCACACTTTGCGAACTGGATGGTAATGTTTGACTGTCTGGACATTTTCTGCGTAACGATTCTGTTTTTAACCACTGATTCATATTTACCGGATTACTTTTTGCGGAACATCCGAAATGAGTGTTTTGTTTACATAAATATTCTGTCAAACAAGCAATGCGTGCGCATGTTAGGGGAAATGTGTCTGAGACGGCATACTTTTTGTAATCGCCTCATAAAAAATTAAAAAAAAAATTTAATTTATTTCACCTCGGGCATTTTCTTAGTTAACACAAAACTATGTTTTGAAGCATATTTGAAACGATAACCTTTTTCGCATAAACTAATATTAACACTACGCCATCTCAACCGCACAAGCCATCTCATCTATATACTTAAGGGTGAGATGGCATACCATTAAAATTTTACAACAAAAACATTAACCAAATGTTAAAAAATAGAAAATATTTCTTAAACGTTTATTTATCAAAAAACAAAATAACATTTTCATAAACATATTCAAATGCCGTTAAAAAAACATTAAATACACTTCCAAAAATTAAATAATTAAAGAAAACAACTTTTTGAAAAAGAAACAAAATATTAGTTAACTCTGAAAGTACAATTTTTATTATTTGCAAAGATCACAAATAAACTGTTTTGCTTTTCGAACTAAGCCCGCACATTCTGTGTGGCTTCATTTTCTGCTTTTCTGACATTGAATCCACATTTCGCCACTTTTGGAAACAGTGTATAATTCATTACAAAATATACACGCTGGATCGTCTTCATCATCAGTCTCTAAACGTTCATCGTCACTTTCTCCAAAATATAAATTTTTAGTAACTCTTCGAACCGCAGTTTTCTGCGAGTTTTTCTGTTTGTTTTTTTTTTCGGATTCAACTTTTTTAGCTTCCTCAAGATTTGGCGTGTCGTTTAACACACCTTGTTTGCCTTTTCTTCTTTTCTTTTTATTTTTGGCAAGTTCAGCAATAGGTAAAGTTGATATGTCTTCAATGGAAATGTCCTTATTGGGAGACTTTGTTATTTCTAGTGTTTCTGATAACTGTGACGTTGCAGATGTGCTAGGCCGAATTTGTTCAGCATTTTCAGTTCCTTGTGAGGAAGTTTCATTGTCGCTTAAATCAACATTTGTAACCTCTGATGGAGTAAACATCCAATCGGGAAATACTTCACTGTTAAACGGATATATTCCTGTTGCAGCAAAACCCTTTTCAGCATTTTCTATCGTCGCAGATTTATTATAAGCTGTTTTAAATATTTCTGCTACTTGGTAATGTGTTATGACCCTTCCAGGATGATTCCTTAACCAACTGATGAGTTCTTGATTGTAAAAACTAGTGAGTGGCCCATAAAAACTCACATCAAGAGGCTGCACTCTATGAGTACAGTGGGGAGGAAAACAAAACATTATAATTCCATGGTGTTTTGCGTAGTTCAAAACGTTCAAGTCTTTGTGGCTGCCGTGGCCGTCGACTAAAAGCAGAATTTGTTCCTCTTCTGTGGGCTTTGCATATTTGACAAAATGCTTTAGCCATTTCAAAAAGATGTCTCCAGTCATCCACCCCTTTTCTTGAGTAAAACCTGTTGAACCTGTGGGCGCGTGATCCAACAATTCCTGCTTCATATTTTTCCTTGGAAAAATGAAAGCTGGGGGAATATATATGCCTAGTGGATTCATACAACACACAACGGTAAGATGTTGTCCTCGTTCTGCGCTGCTCAATATGCCGACCTGCTTCCTACCTTTGGTAGCAATAATTTTTGCATTTTTAGATGGCACTGTTGACAAGCCCGATTCGTCGACGTTCCATATTTGATTTGGTTGGAAGTCATACTTTTCAAGGGTTTCAAGTAAAGATTTGAAATATTTTGTTATTTGGGGTTTATTAAAGGCTCTGGCGCGTGCAGCCGAAGTAGCTTCTGGTGTTCTTAACGATAATGAAAGATTTCGTTGCATAAAACCTTTATACCAATCCCAGCCGGCCATTTCTTTAGCTGCAGAAAATTTATGTGATAAACCTTTTGCTTCGGCCACTTGATAAGCCAGTTTTCGTATATCATTTGTAGACATACCAAATAATCTAGTTTCTAGATTTTTTACGTGGGCGACAATTTCATCTTCTAAGTTTTTATCAAACGTGCTTTTACGACCGCCTAGGTAACCCTTTCTCCAGCCATCTGCAATTTTCGCTTGTCGACGTAGTGTCGTGGATGGTACAGAATATATTTTCGACGCTCGGAGCCAACCCATTTTCTTACCACGAACCGCGAGAATAGCTTCTTTCATATTCTGTTCACTCCATGATTGACGAGATGATTTTCTCCGATAAGGACCCATTTCTGACAAATAAAAACATAATCTCAATGGTGTAAAACAAATCAGTACAATAAAGACATGATGGCATACCATGCCATCTCATCTTTAGATTTACTGTGCCATCTCACATAAAAGTACGTTTAAATCGAAAGTCCACCTTTAAAGAATTATCTTGAATAAAACCGTTGGGTTTGTGGTCATGAATTTATGCGCAATTACAATAAAAATAAGAAATTACCACTAGAACCTTCAACTTATCTCAAAATACATCTTACGAGAGTTTTTCTGAGACGGATAAAAGTTTTTAACACTTACCTGTTTCAACAGTTTGCTCAAACATGAAGACCATCTCGCCAGTTAACCTCAAATTACGTAGCATTTTCTACTTACGCCACAGTCACGTGATGGCGTTACTCAAAGCGCTAAATTCAAATTCGAACTTAGTAAAAACGATAGTATGCCATCTTATCTAACATGCCGTCTCAGACACATTTCCCCTACTAAATCCACCCTGCAACGTGTCGCAGCCCAGCGTTGCGAACTATTCAATAATTATTGGTTTTATACAATAATTAATTGGGTAATCCATACAATAATACAAAAACTAGGTCTCTTTATATACAATAATTTTAAGGGATGGTTATTTAGTTCTTTAATTCTTTAAAAAGCATTGTGCAGTCGTTTTTGTTTTATCCCTTGTGAGATTGTTGTTTTTGTTCGTGTGTTATTAACACAAGGTAGCATTGACACATTGACATTTCATTTGTATCGCCCACCCCTTAGTCACATGTGCGAGTCAACCAATCAGCCGCCATAGAATGAATCTTGTGGCGAACCGTCCTACGATTACTGGCGAACACTAGGCGTTCGCGTACGCACTTTGAGAAACCCTGCCTAAAGTACGGTGCAAGCATTAAATTCACATGAGGTGCGAGGTTTGCTAAAACTGTAGCAAAATAATCAGAGAACGAAACTATTTTGGTCGGTAATAAACTCAAAGAAAAATTATCAACTGCAAAGCAATCAGATTAAAGTAGTTCCGATCTGGAAACCTCCTAAAACCCCATCTAAAATATCCGTGTCGCGAACGCAGGGGTTGAATCCACAAACCGAGAAAACGTTGGCTTAATTTTCATAAAAAGCGATCCGTAAATTATTATCGAAAAATTCTCCCCGACGATCTAAAGTTGACGCAAAATTCCTGGCGCTATCTGTTCACACCAAACGCATCGAAAACCTCCTACAAAAAACGTATAAATCAAACGCTTAATAGGTACGGGCGAAATCGAGAACACAGTAGGGTAGCGAGAGCGAGATAAGTTAAGTAAGACTGAGGGTAGACTTACACAAATGCAACATGGAAATTTTTCTGACTTCTCGGTCTCAGCAAATTTTTCTAGGTCCGAATTTCTTCAAAATTCAGCCAAAAATGGCGGAAAAATCGCGAAGCAGACGGACAGCGTGGCCCACGGCACCTCGAAACTTGAACCAATATCGCTTTTGCGCGCTACTGCTTTTATAAGGATTTTTGCACATTTATCTTGTCTCCCGCGACGTTAGCGAGCAATAAAAAGGCTTAAGTTATGGTTTGCCTGGGACGCGACTTTAGGTCTTATTTTGCTGTTTTATAAAATTTAGTTTGGTTTGAATAGGATTTCGTCTCTGACCGATTTACGCGAGTTGGCTGTCAGGTTAACTCGTAAATTTTTTGGATTTTTCAACTTGCATTATGGTTCCCATGTCGTCATCAGTTGGTTGCGTCAGCCTGCTGCATCTCTGTTAGTAAAGGCGGCATTCTTTGATATGTTTTTTATGCATTTGGGTTCAAATTCTAATGAAAGTAATTGCGATTAGCGGTTTTTATGGGTGTACAGTTCTGCGCATCTTGTTCATAATGTCTGACAAGCGCAATGATATTTGATGTTTGCGAATATGCGAATTTTGTTCTTACGTTTGGGGATTGGTGGTCTGATTATCTGTCTGAATGGTACTATGTGCAGATTTAGACGTGCGTGTTAAGTAATTAAGATTTGCAAATTTGCGAATTTTGTTTTTATGTTCTGGGAATTTGTTTTTCGTCTTTTTGTTGCGATTTGCTCGTGAACTGACTTAGTGACGACCCTTCACACAGCCTCGCATATTTTTGGTGTATGAAGCTTAATGTCGGGCTTGATGTTGCCACTGAACCAAAAATTTTCTTCTCTTTATTCTAAGAGCTAATTCCGGTTAACAAATTTTTGTAGACTGAATATAAAGTAAATTTTTCTGGCTGTGCCCATTGAATTGCATAATATTTGGGGTAATCCTTTTTATCTGTTAACGTTTTCAGTTCCTCCCTTGCAAAGGTCTGGATTTGAATAAAATCACTTTCATCCAAGTCAAAAGCAAATTTATTGTCGTATCCACAAATACGCAAGAAATTTTTAATAAACTCGGGAAGTACTGTTTGTACTTTTTCTTCGAGAACCCGGAAAAAATCGTTTTCTGTCGTTAACTGGTTCGTTACCGGTTTGTGCCTTGGTCGTTCACTAAACAGCGTACCTACCTCAATTCCTAAAAATCACAATTCATTATTGATCATACATATCAATATATACCTATGGTTTCAAGTTTGGAGAAGGTATCAACAATAATTCTTTTGATTTCCTTGGCAGGAACCAAGGTTCCTACCAAATAGTAAGAAACAGGGATTTTCCAATCACCATCAATGCTTGTTACCATCAAAGTGATGGCATTGTTAACAGGAATTAATTCATTTCGCCTGTTATCTGCTAAATCTAGGAGACCTACTATTTTATCTGTCTTTCTATCATAGAAAAGATGACTCTTGAGTGCCATTTCGTCAACACACAGGGTGCAATATTTTTCAGTTGTTTTGACATTTTTGAGTCTGTGTTGTATTACTTTTAACATGTCTTCATTTAATCCAATAGTGACTGAAATATTAATTAGTAGGCGCCATAGCACGGTTTTCGACGGTAAACAAAACGTCTTCTTTAAAAGTCGATATGCCTTTGGACTTGGAAAATACAAATACAAAGCAAACTTTTTTAATTGTGTAGAGTTTGCTTGTAGACCCACCTGTAGTCTCAAAAATGGTAAGCATTCAGATGCCAATTTTTTTTTTTGCTAAATATAAAAAATCTTTGTAACGTGGTCTAACGACGAATTTGTTTTTTAAGATCAAATTTCTGTTGAAGCCGTTGTACCCTTTTTTTGGGAAGTACAGTATAATCTCACTAATCCGGCACTTCGATAGATTGGCACGTCCAATAATCCGGCACCCTCCGCCTACGCCTCCCTCGCCCCTATACACCTGTGCGCTTCGGTCTGCCCTCTATGAAATGCTTTACCTTATTCGTTACCTATGAGTTTTTACTATAATCCTGTAATTCGAACATTCCAATAATCCGGCACCCTCCGGTTTTTAATAGTGCCGGATTAGTGAGATTATACTGTATTTATTTATTTCCTCAATTTTACTTTACGTGGGGTGTTTGTTGATGGACTTTGAGGAGTCTGCGTTTCCTGAAATGCTTGGGCACAACTTCGTTTTCGCGGCCTTTTGGATGCGCCAATGTTTACAGAAGTCTGCAAAAAAAATTGACAATTACGATTTGTTTTATTTCAATTAAAAAAATATATTTGGAAATGATTCGCATCAAACAAACCTGTGATATAGTTGATACTGGACGGCTTTTAGCATCGATGTTGCTTGTATTTTCGCAATGGGTGATGGAAAATCTTCAAGAAGAGATCTTTTTCTTTTTCGTCTATTGACTAATAAAGTGTTTGCTTATTGTTAGTTTATACTGACTTCTGAAGGATCATCAGACAACGGTACTGCTAGTACTTCTTGACTAGTTAATGGAACACAATGACATTGGTCATTATCAAAATATTCATGGATCTAAATTTTTAAATAGGTCATATTATAATACTTATGTACATCTAAAATATGCTCCATCGTCAAAACAACATACATTATGTACACTGAATAACATAACAAAACAAAAATACCAAGTATAACATAGCATTTATATTGATTTACACTGAGGTACAGTATGAATAAAATTCATGGAATGTATACAAACAATGAGTCAATAAGAAAGTTTTTAATAAAATATTGAAATTCTTTGTATAACAATTTACTTTTAGACTGTTCGGAAGTGAATTGAAAAACTTATGATAGATAGATATTTTATTTGTGCTGGGATACATAGTAAGTATTTGCACACTATTACAATCATTGAACATTAACCATTTCTAAAGAACTGCTCAAAAATTCATCAAAATTGTAGCAACATTTATGTGACAAATACCGTTTAATGGTGTTTAGAAACTGTTTAGTAGGCATTATTTTTATCTGTTCTGGTGTTACATTAAAAAATTTAATACAATAATAGTTTATGCCAGTTTTAGATTTTGTAAGACGTAAAGGTCTGTTGTAATTGTGGTACCAATTTAATTTAGGATACAATTCTGTCCTGTCTTTTATACATTCTAAACACTTAAAAATAAACATTGACGGTACAGTTAGAATGCCTAAACTACTAAAATATTACCGACAGTCCTCACGATAAGCTAAATTGGCTACTACTCTAATGGCACGTCTTTACAACTTAAATAATCTGTCACACATTGACGTATGACCCCATGATAATAGGGCATATTCCAAATGACAATGCACCAGGCAAAATATGCTACTCTAAGAACCTGCATAGAAAGACTAAGAGACAAATTACGGAGTAAGAAGATATTTCTAGATACCTTTTTGGGAACCTCATCACTATGATTATTCCACGACAGTTTAAAATCTATGAATACGCCAAGATATTTGACTCGTTCTACAAAATGTTCCGTAATTTTTTTACTGTTAATGCCTAATCTATTCACAAAGAACCATGATTCAGTACTCGCGATAATTTGCTTTTTTTTTTTAAATGTGTCTTCTCTCGGTGAGTCTGCAAAACTTACAGTCGTATCATCCGCATACATCATAACATCAACATTTTTTAAATAATAGGGTAAATCTTTTATATACAACATAAACAGAATGGGACCCAATATGGAACCCTGCGGGACACCATAGGTAATAATGGACTCATCAGAAAATGATCCGTCTACCTTAACACACTGAGTACGCTTTGTTAGATATGAACAAGTAAGCTTCGTGCTAAGCGGATGAAAATTATAATAAAGGAACTTCCTTATTAAGATGTCGTGAGAGACGCAATCAAAAACTTTACTAAGATCCAGAAAAAAAGGATTGTATGATTCTTTTTGTTCAAAAGCTTGTGATACTTGATTAACAAAATTGAACATAGCTGCAGAAATTGAAGAACCTTTTCGAAATCCATACTGATTTGGAACAAGAAT